AGGCATTTGACTGCTAACCAGAAGTCTGGTAGTTCAAACCCACCAGCCACTCCTTGGAAGGAAGGTTGGGCAATCTATCTCTGTAGTGATACTGCCTTGGAAACTCAAGGTAGGGGGCGGGCGGAGTCACTATAAGTTGGATCAGACTCAATGGCAATGTGTTGCATTTGCCACTATTTGTGATGGACTGTTGCCTCTCTTTATCCACGCTCCGGTATAGTCCTCTCTCAGATTGTCTCTGGGTTTAGCCTTGTGACTTTCTTTGGCCAATGGGATGATAAGAATCATGACATCATTAACAAAAATATGAAAAGTGATTGCATATTAGTGCCTATGCTTTCTTTGTGCTCTTGGGAATTACGTGACTTCTAGCACGTGAATAACTTTGAGCTAGTTTGCTGGAGATATGGGGCTAGTCAACCCCATCACCCCAACCAATGGCCAGTGCCAGTCATCAGCAAGTACCAACCACCAAGCACAGAAATGAGGCTGTCCTAGACAAACCAGCCTCTAGCTACCCTATAAACTGAGCAATCTAATGAATAAGTCTCGGTAAGAGGAGCAGAAGAGACACACAGCTGAAAAAATCGCCAATCCACAGAATCATGAGACATTCAAAGTTTCTAAATTTGGGGGTTGATTTATTATACAAATTATTTAAACATTGTTTTCTTGTCCTCTTTGTAAAGAATAATATTGTGAGGCCAAAAAAGAGGGATTATACACCAAAAGAGCTGCAGAACTTACTTACAATGTACTGACAGGATCCAGGATAATATGTCTGGGAGTGAATTGTGATGATCTTGTGTCAAATGGGACAGAATATTAAGCTGAATATGGGAGAGTGTGTCAGTATGGGAGTATTCTTCCATGACACAGTATTTAAAACCCTGAGTATCAGCAACCAATGGCTCATTAGCACGGGAGTATGAAGGGCCAAATCATTTTCCCCACCAAATTTAAAATCAACTCACTGGTGCAATTTATATTCCATAGCTCTCGATGGTATTAAATGAAGCTAATTCTCCTTACATAGGAATTTCACTCTCCCTATCCTATTTCCCTGACTCCTTTTTTTCCTGAGAACATTCCTTCAAGAAACTACTTGCACAAAAACTGTCATCTAAGGCAGTACTAGATTTGAGGGCACCCAACTTAGGACAACTATCATTCATATATTACCTTTTAAAATGATATGTTTGAAAAGAAGAACAGTTATTTGTATTCTTTCAAGAAACTTCATTCATAAGACTTCCATTAATAAGGAATTTTTACTCCTATATGTTATTGATAATATTCCAGAACATACTTTATTAAAAGCAATATATTTTCAACTGAAACCTGTATTTCATGTTAAGTGATTTTCTCCAAAGATACCATCAAAACAAGTAACACTGAACAATAGTAGTCACATGTTTCACATTTCTAGTACTTATAGCCATTGGAAATATGTCAAAACTGAAATATCTAATTTATTGAAGAGACACTAGTTAAGATTATCACAGAAGGGAGATCTGCTAAATAGAAATAGAGAATGTTGTTGTCAGGTGCCATAAGGTAGGCTCTGACTCACAGTGACCCATGTACAACAGGATGAGACACTGCCCAGCCCGGTGCCATCCCCACAGTCAGTGCCACGTTTCAGCCCACTGCCACAGCCGCTGTGTCAGTCCATGCCGTTGAGGGTCTTCCCTTTTGACACCCTGCTTTACCAGGCATGATATCCAGGGATTGCTGCCTTCTGGTAACATGACCAAAGTGTGAGAAATGAAGTCTGGCAATTCTTGCTTCTAAGGAGCGTTCTGGTTGTACTTCCTCCAAGACAGATTTGTTTGTTCCTCAAGCAATCTATGGTACATTCAGTATTCTTTGCCAGCACACCACAACTCAAATGCATGAATTCTGTGGACTTTTTTTATTCATTGTCCAGCTCTCATATGCATATGAGGCTATCAAAAATATCACGGCTTGGGTCAGGGGCACCTTAATCTTCAAATTTAACATTTTATGGAGGTCTTTTGCAGCAGATTTGCCCAACGCCAAGAGAGAATGCCACAGGATAGTTAATGGATAAAACGAAAAAATAGCTCATGTGTTCATAATGTTAATTTCTATATAAGTATTTTACATTTCTAAGGAGGCAGCCTGGTTCAGTGAAAGAATAGTGGATTTTGAGTCAGATCTGGTTTCTAATCCCAGTTCTGCCACTAGTTATGGGAATTTGGCAAATCACTAAAATTTTACAAACTCAAATTTCTTAAGATTGTAAACTTATATGAGAGAATTTTTATAAATTATAGAAATTAATTAATACTGAACAACTACATCAGTGTATTTTAAGGATATTTTAGAAAGAACATTAAATTGTCAAATCTTCAGTATACAGGCAGTCCCTGGGTTACAAATGTCCGGACTTACAGACAAGTCCCACTTGCCCTTTAATGTTATGTAAATCTTCCTTACTTTGAAATGACTGAACCAATCCCTACTTGCAACAAATCCATCACAATCACTTTCACTTACTGCACGTGCAGCTTTTAAATCACCGAAAAGGCTCTGAGCCTTTTCTTGCACTAAAGTAAAGCTAAATAAGAACCATATGCACATGGACTCACTTTCCTGAGAATTCTTAGTGACAGTTAGGAAGGGATCTCATTCAAAATCTGAGAACTGCCTGTATAAGAATTTTTGCCAGGGATCATTCTTGAAACTGACTCTGAGGTCTGAGTTCTTTTCCTGTTGCATTGAGCAGGTTCCCATAAAACGTCATTTAAATAATTATTTTTTATTGACCACGAAACAATATTTTTTATACTCTACATATTCATTTTAGAGCTTAATTGAGCAAAAGCCTGTATTTAAACTTGCCTGAGATGTCCAAAAGGCCACTGATCGCATTGTAACTCATGAGCCCTGCATGGGGTTTCCGGGGTGCCATGTTATGTGCTGAAGCAAATGTAGGCCAGCAAATCCCACTTCTCCCACCTTTTGCAGAAGAAAAAATAATAATGAAATTTGAAAGTACATTCATATGAATTCCAAAACTAAAGTTTCCCAAATTTTTACCTGATAGAGGTCTAGAACTCCGATGGGCTGCAGTAAGTTTGATATTCGGGTTGTCATTAGTTAGGATATCAGAGCAATTAAAGGCAGGGCTGCTTCCAACAATTAATGATCTCTGTTTTTAAAAAAGTCAAGTAATATAGCTTTAATAATTGCTAAATCAAAATATAATAATAAATAATACTGAATTCCACTATAGCAAAAGACAACTAGAAGTTTCAAGAAATAGATCATTCATTAAACAAACATGACTTTGGCCCTTAGTGGAATGACACGCCAAGTGGGAAGGGGATGGCAGATATGTAGTCATATATAATGACATGTTATGTTTCTATGACAGAAATATGTCCAGGGTACCAACCAACACCGCACTCGGTGCTGTAGTGTCAGTTGTGGCCCCACATGTCAGAGTCAAACTACCCTGAAGGGTTTCGTGGCTGCAGTTATTACACAGGCAGATCCCCTGGGCTTTCTTCCATAGTAGAGCTGGGTAGGTTTGAACTGCCAACCTTTG